TACCGAAAGTGCCATTTCTTTTATTTTATTAAAGATTTTGCTTCATCGATGGACCAAACTGAAGCACCCATTTGAATATTTTTAGATCTTTCAAAAGGTTTTGCCGTTATTGACCATTACATCTTGCTATCAAAATGACCTTCTTATGAATTCATAGTATCGCTCTGGATTGGATAACCTCGTACCTTAAACATCTATCACAAAGAGTAGAAATACCGTACTGGCTCGAATGGACATTATTTACTTATCTTTTCAATTCTTTACCCATTGAATATGGGGTCCCGGAAGGCTCAGTCTTAGGTCATATCCTCTTTCTGTTATACGTAAACGATATGCCCTCGTAAACGATACGCCCTATTAAAAACGTAAGACCGGTTCTGTTTGCCGATAACACGAATGTTCTTTGCAAAAAAGAAACTATAAATAGTACGATTTCAGAAGTTTCAAATTGGTTGTGTAATAACAAATTAATAGTTAACAAAGGAAAAAGTTTCAATGCATTTTTGCATTTCAAATCAGCAATCTCATGCTCCATTGAAAATGAACAATATGCAGTTAGCTGATGTTAAGGTATCAAAATTTCTGGGTTCTCAATTCAGTCAAACCTCAACTGGAATATGCAAATAACCGAATTAAACACTACATTAAGTTTATTGTGTTAAGCATTTAGATTTCTTTCAAATTGGCAGCCTTCATGCAGCTCGTTGCGTGTATTTTGCAAATGTACATTCCTGCGTGACGTTAGCATAATATTCTGGGGAAGCTTAGACCTTTGGAATGCAGGTGGGAAAATCGAATAATAAAAAATACTATCCACGTGATTCTGCAAACCTCTCTTCATTGAGCTTGGAATCTTACCCTTGCCTTCCCTGTTTATTTACGAATCTGTAATATTTGTCAAAACTGGCTTTCTTAACGGCGGGAACATATTTTCATGCAAAATTGATATTTATAATTACAACACGGGTTTTTCTTTAGATTGGGGATTCGTGAAATTTAGAGAGAGTATGTTGCTGGTGTTTATGATGAGTTTGTCGTCTTGAAACCGTTTTACTAGTGCTTGCAAAGTTTTCGAGTTTTTTTTTTGGTTTGTTGTGTTTTTGCTTTTAAGATTATGTTTGTGTCATCTGCAAACAAAATTGCATTGAAATTGGTCTTACTCTGGCCGTGCCTACTTATTTAAGATTCTGTAGTTTTATCAAACTGATTTATGGGTGAGAATACATTTTGATGCGATACAGATATGTATAGTTACGACAAATGTAGGAATCATATTTATCAGATATCACAGTAAGGGCCAAGTAAAAGCTTTTCTGCGGCATAACTCTTTGTATAGAATTAGAAATTATACAGAGCATAAAAAGTAAAATAATATTTACTTTAATATTGCGTTAGTCCTTTTTTCTTTTACAAAAAAACTAAATACGTCTGTAACGAATATTGTACTTCTGAGTGACGTCCATCTCGACCAGATTTTTAGCCTTGTTTTTCTAATCTATAGAGCAAATCCTGATAGGACCTCTTGTTTTACCTCAGAACATAAATGTAGCTTCACTAAGCCCTTGTTTTCATGACAATTGAACTCATTCTTCTTTTACTTTTTGGCCCTACTACGTAGTAAAGAGGAAGTAGTGTAATTCTGTGGCAAAAATCGGCGAGTTTTCGAAAGAAAAACATTGTGGAGCACTGCCCTCGAAGAAGTGGATAAATATTGCTCCTGTATACAGTACGGTTCTTCATCTAACACGTTCTGTAGTCAGAATCCACGTTTTATGGTACTTTACATGGAGCCTCAAGAAAATTTGTAAATATTTTCTCAAATATCGCTCCCATTTTTTTTATTAAATTCTTTCCTTAAATAGGGTAAAGAAAGCATAATAATGGCGCAGGGGTCATATTAGTTTAAAACACTGAATTTTCGAAAATGGCAATAGTCCGAAATGTTTACAGCGTCTGCATTGAACTGCAGTATTGAGGATAAATATTTTCTCGTAATAAAATCTATTCTTTAGAGACAAATCTTAAAATGTCATGTACAATTTTTCTAAAACATAAGTAGTTTTCGCACCATTTTGCAAGATATGTAGGCGATTTATTTTCTCAAATATGGTTCCAAATGTTTACTCTTTCACCTTCAAAAGTAGACAGACTATTTTTCGTGAAAGTAGACTGATTTTTCGTTAGAAAAACGCATTGCCGGACCCTGGTTACGGAAGAGTGGATGTATATTATTTCTGATTGTAGTATATTACGTTTTGTGTGACTTTGATACCGAAAAATCGATTGACTGTAAAATGTCTTTCTGTCCGTCCGTGGTAGACACAAGTGCCTAAACCGTTCAGACGATTCTCTCCAATATTGATATTCCCCGTTCTATCTAACGAACTCGAGACCCCGCGAGTTAGAAACGGATATTTTGTGTTTTGGGGTACTTCACACGAAGCCTCAACATTTTAAAATGGATCCAAATTTTTCGGTTACACATTTTCCCTCGGACAGTGTACAGAAGGCTTAAAAGAATGGCGCATATACCACTTTCGTTTAAATCCCCAATTTTCCGAAAATTGCGAAAGTTCAATTTTTTTCGGCGTTTTCCTACAACTACAATATTGAAGATAAAAATATTTTTTCCTTAATGAAATCTGTTCTTCAAAACTATATCTTGAATGAGTACCCTTGTATGTGTGATAAGACGGTTAAAAAAAACTGGTGTTAGCCCCATTCTCGCCGAATTCTCTATATTTTCAAACATCGCAAAAGTTCAGTATTGTAGATATTTTTGTCTAAATTGAAATCCATTTTTAAAAATCACATTTAAAAAAGTCACGTACAATCTTTCGAAATAAAAACAACTAGTTTTCGCGTAAATTCTGCTCGAAATGAATGCATTTTATATTAAAAAAAACAAAAATTTTCAAAAAAATCAAAAACTACTCCTAATTTTTTCTTTAAATTTTTCCATGCACAGAACAACAGAAGCTTAAAAGAATGACGCATTTCTCATTTTAGTTAATATCTCCGAATTTTCGAAAATTTAAAAAAATTAACATTGCAAAATTCAATACTGAGATTTTTGTCTTATATGAAAATATATTGTAAAAAATTAGATCCTTAACAAAGGTTATGTATGTTTTTAAAAGAACAAGTTTTCATGTAAATTCTACTTGAAATGAATGCCATTTATAAAAAGAACTCTCAAACATAGCTCTGTATTTTTTTCCCACAGATAGAGCAAAAGACTTAAAAATGGCTCTGGTCTAATTTTTGTTGAACTCCCTTAATTTTCGGAAATTCTTGGGTCGGAAAGAAATTTTGCTCGGAATCACCTTTGCAGGCTCATATAGTTGTATACATATAGTGGTAAACTTAGAATTTCTTTTTTAAAAAAATTAACAGTGCAAAATTAATAATATTTAATTTTTATTAAATTTATTTAATAACATTTTAATTAAATTATTAATTTTTAATTTAAATTACTAATTTTTAATTAAAATTATTAATTTTTAATTAAAATTAATAATTTTTCACTCCAAAACAGAAACCTCTCTGTAACGTCTTGCAAAACTTCCAAGGGTTTCAATTCCTCTGCAATATAAACAACAGGTTCGCGAGGTCACTGCCATGCAACAGCACTTAGAAGTAGAGGCTTAGGAGGAGGATGTCACATGCTCACTTTACCCTCCTAGTTGTTTTTCAGTTGTTGTTAGTAGAGGGTAATAGTGGGAAGAGAAATAGTCGCAAGGTATGATGGAAAAAAAGGACACAGAGGATGGAAAATTCACAATGTTAAAACTGCTTTATTCTTTATAGTATGAAACTAGTGACCTACAGCAGCAAAAATGCTGCTGAGCAAAACATCACAAAATTGTTTCCTAAGACTTATCAAGCACACTACTCAATAACAACAAATAAAATAGTTTGGTATTACACTGCAACAAATTAAGTATTTTAATAAAATGTCTTTTTTCTCCTATATATCTGTCTGTACTAGAGACACTGTGAATTCAAAACATCTTTAAAGTTCTGGGTGTACCTTTCATGTTCCCTTAACACATTTTCAAAATTATCTTAAGAAAACTACAGATTTTTTCCCTAATTTTTTTCTCATTTCGAGCGAATTACTTTTAATAAAATCCTCATATCCGATTTTCAATAAAACTTCTGAAATTTTAAAATTGTACCGATTTAATAAAATGTTCAAAAAACTACCATTGACGTGTATCAAGTAGTGTCTACATGGTGATAGATTCTATATGTATGATGTACCCCTACATTGTTGTTTAGAATGCATTAGTAAGTTAGTTCTTAATTAAAATGTACTTTGCACATCAATTCACATTTAAGGTACGGTAAATGATGACTTTTTTTTTTCTTCACACTAAAATGGGGGGAGGGGAAAAGAGCTCCAGTTTTGTTATAAAAATAATAAGGTAATAAAATATTTTGGACAGTCCTATAATGCCTATATAGGACAGCTTTGGGCTTTTTAAGGTGCAGAGAATTTGTTTTAGTCCTCCAGAGCAAACTCTGAGTAAATAATTCGAAAAAAGTGATAAAAAGCATTTAATATCAATATCTTCATTACAAAAACTAATTAGGATCATTATACAGTTAAATTTGCTCAATGCAGAACATGTATAATGCAGAAATCTGTCCAATATGAATATAAATCGCAGTCCTGCCAAACATATATTCTACAATATTACATTGCATAATGCGGAATATTGTCTAATATGAAAGAAAAAAAAATATTGGTCCCTTGAGAGTCCACATTGAACAAGTTTTTACTGTACTATTAAATATCCTTCATTTTAGAACAAAAAGAACCAGTTACACATAAGAAGACTTACTCATAGAAAATTGTTTCATCCAGTGTAATTAGTCCTCCTAGTCCCCCTCCTCCTTCCTTTTCTCCTTCCCCTCGTCGCTCCTCCTCCTCCTTGTTCATCCTAAATCTAAGTTTTTGAGAGAAAAAATCTTATTTAGAAAATTGGTTCCAGGTATGTGAGGAGACCTTAGAAGCTCACCAAGCTCGGCTTGGTGATTTAAGAGGACTTGTGGCTCGAATAGCAGCAGACGTTGGTCTGGATGCTGGTGGTCCTCTTGATGATGATGTAGCAGCATTAGGACGTCGTCTTGAAGATGTAAGGGAATCATTAGCAGCTTTAGCTGAGGTGGCTGAAGCTCAACAGATTGGACAGAATGAATTGCAAAGTACCTGTAATTTCCTAGCATCTGTCAAGCAAGTAAGTAAATCAAATGTAACTATTACCCAGTAAAATATTGATTCTTGTTCATTGAAACTACATCACAAAATTTGTTTTACATAAAATGACAAATGAACTAAAGTAAATGGCATTGTTATATTCAGCACTGATTATGGTTCCATATTTTTTCATTAATACATTACATTTGCAGAGTCTTAGTATGGTAGAAGAGGCTAACGAGAAAGATATTGAAAATCAATTAGGTGCTCTTCGTAACCACTTGCTAGCTCTTGGCAAAACAGAAGGACAACTCCAAACATTGAAGGAAAGACCCATTGATCTTTCCCCTTCTAAGTCTGAAACATCTGTTGTGGAGATTCTTCAGGTGAGAAAAATCTGCTGGAATGTTTCTGCAAATTAGGATGAAATTTTGTATGTTTGGATCTTTTATTGTCAATTTCCCTTTCCAGTTGTGGCAACAAGTTTTTAGGGAAACATTTCAACATTATCATAGATTGTCAGCCAGATTAGTGAAGAGCCAAGATAGTGCTGCTGCTTTAAGACTTTGGCATGAATATTTACTTCATGTACAGTCTTTCCTGTCAAGTTCCATTCCTGAAGATTATCGAGGCCTTACAGAGCACCAACATTTGTGTGAAGTGCATCAGAATCTTCTAATGAGCCAACAGTCAGTATTACTGTCACAAAATGAAGGAAGGACTCATCAAGATGGTGTTGAGTTATCTGTAATAGAACAGTTTAATTCATTGACAAACTTGCACAATGAAACTCTTGCACGTATTATGGAACGTCACAGCGAAGTTGGTGAACGGCTTGTTTCATGGGAAAAATATTCACAAGAACAAGCTCGTTTGCTCGCCTGGCTCCGTGACTTAGAACGAGAACGTAGCCGGCTACAGCTACATAATATTCACATAAGACGCATTCCTAAGGTTCTTTCACATATACAGGTAAAAATATAAATCATAATTCGAATAATATTAATAATAATCCATTGTACCAATGAAATTAATATGTTAATTTTTTTGCCAGACAATGCTTGAAAAGGAAGTTCCATTGGGTGAATCTCAAGCACTAGAACTATTGGAACTTCAGAATAATTTGTTTCATAATACTGATGACACAGTGGCTTCTTCTGTACGTTTAGCATATGCAACAATTACACAAAGAATCTCAAATTTGAAAGCAGCATTAGAAACTTGGAAGGACCATTTAGATAGAATAAACAGTTTGGTTTCTACTTATGAAAAGAATGCAACTAATGTTCAAACTGTGTTCCAAGAAATCCACAGTGCTATTTGTGAATCTCAAGCTTTAATATCCCATGCTGATGTGAGGAACAGGCTGGATAGTTTAAGGGTGAGTTCTCTAAATTTGTATTTTTTTTTTTTCCCCCAGCGCTCAGAATCCATCTATCTCATCCTTTATACTGTACAATTCTTTTCATATTACTGTTTCACTTCAACTCCTTCATACGAGTGTGGGCATGCCAAAAGTTTGTTATATGGACATTAAGGTGTTTTGTTTGCCACTCACAATAATTTTATTTATGTTCATAAATATTTCACTCTTATAATATTGTGGTTTTATTAAAATATTTGTTTCATTTGATTACTTTAATTTTATCATTTTACAACTAGTAATATGCTTATAAAAGTAATGAAGTAAAATCAGGGGGAAATGAAAAATAATTCATACATTTAAATATTGTAAGAACATAAAATGGTAGAAATTAATAGTTCATTCTTACGTGCAAGTCTGTCAAGGTGTAAATGGACCTGAAGTAATGAATGCTCATTAAACTCATGCAAAATGTTTAAAATTGTTGCTGAATTTCTTCATATTCCATCCAGCCTTTAAGGGGGTTTAAAGGAGGACTTTTTAATAGGATGCCTAAAGAGGGGTGAAGGTACAGGAGTGTATGTAGACTTAATTTTACATTATCTTTCTTTTTCTTTCTTTTTTCTTCTTTTTTTCCAACTTTCTTTCTTTTTTCCCCAACTTTCTTTCTTTTTTTCCCAACTTTCTTTCTTTTTTTCCCAACTTTCTTTTTTTTCAACTTTCTTTTTTTCCCAACTTTCTTTTTTTCCAACTTTCTTTCTTTCTTTCTTTTTTTCCAACTTTCTTTCTTTCTTTCTTTTTTCCAACTTTCTTTCTTTCTTTTTTTCCAACTTTCTTTCTTTCTTTCTTTTTTTCCAACTTTCTTTCTTTCTTTCCAACTTTCTTTCTTTTTTTCCAACTTTCTTTCTTTTTTTCCAACTTTCTTTCTTTTTTTCCAACTTTCTTTCTTTCTTTCTTTTTTCCAACTTTCTTTCTTTTCTTTCTTTCTTTTCTTTCTTTCTTTTCTTTTTTTCTTTCTTTTCTTTTTTTCTTTCTTTTCTTTCTTTTTTTCTTTCTTTCTTTTCTTTCTTTCTTTTCTTTCTTTCTTTTTTTCCTTTCTTTTCTTTCTTTCCTTCTTTTTTTCCTTTCTTTCTTTCTTTCTTTCTTTTCTTTCTTTCTTTTCTTTCCAACTTTCTTTCTTTCATATATTTATTTAACAATTTATTTGAAAGTAATGGATAAATATGTGTTAAAGGTGTTGTGTTATCATGCTTGGCCACTTATTATAATAAATATTTGCAGAATTTACGATCACGAATCTTGGTTTTAACATCAGACCTAGAAACAATGAATGTCACTTTGGAACAGTTGAGGGAATGTTTAAGCCCAATGGACATGAAAACATTAAATCAACGAACATGGCTCCTTTGGCAATCTCATAATGATCTTGACCACCAACTTGCTGTACTTTGCCATCATTTAGAAGAACGAATTAATCTTTTTACTCTCTTTGACACAAGGTAAGATTTTGCTTTATTATATTTCAACAATATTATTGTTCTTAACATGAATTTGGAAGTATTCACTGTTTTCCATCAAAATTTGTCTATCATACGGTGAAACTAAAAGCATTTTTCACATATAAGATAATATTTCTATTTTTTCTGTCTGCCATTTCTCATTTTAATGCTACTGTTTTGGTAATGTTCAATTAATTAAGCAATCATGATCACTGTAGATTTGTCATGATCATTTGTTGAACTAGTTGCAATTACTATCTTGGTAAGAAAGAAGAAGGAAATTCATGAGATAATTCAGAATCAAATGAGCATTAACTCACAATTGAAAATGAATTTTAAAAACAATGAGTTCATTGAGTTGGAATGGGAAGTGAGATCCTCTACCATGGTATTCAAGATAAGCTTATGCAAGTCCTTGTGAAAAACATTTATTTTTTTTCTTCATTTAGTTCTCAATTCATTTTTTTCTCATTATAGGCTACTATTTCCTTTATGTTAGAGTTTGTTATATTCTGAGTCAGTGATTCTTGTTTGGGATTTGGGGATCCTAACTCTAGATTTGGGAATTTAAAAGAATTGGTACACAAACTCTTGTGGGAGAGTCTAGCAATAGGCTTGTGCAAAGTCGTGCAAAATAAGGCAAGTTGAGGGAGCAGTGAGGATGGAGTTGGGTGGAGAGAGGTGATGAGGCAGGGCAAGGATTTAAATAAAATTACTTCCATTTTATACCTAAAGTTGAATTGGAGTGGCCCGTGGCATTGTGGTCAGACTGCACATCTTCCACCGCTGGTGCTGGTGTGATCCCCAGGTGGTTCCAAGTGGAACTTGTGGTGGACAAAGCGGGTTCATGGCAAGTTTTCTCAAGGTACTCCCGTTTCTCTTGCCAATATGCATTACATCAGATTGCTCCATCATTCATTCCCTACCCTATCCCATTATTAACCACCACTCCGCTAAGGATGTATGAATCACAGCAGCGATAATGTAAGAACTAGCTGAGAAGGGCTGTGGGTACTTCAGTGGGTTATGGACAGATAGGGTCTCAGCCTGGAGTACTAGATAGAGGGGAAATGGTGAGGAAGTGGGGGGACACCCTCTCCTAAGACCCTAAATACGGATTGCAGAGAGTGAATGTTATACCAGGTGGGAGAGTGGTTCAACTTAGCTGGCCCCTGAGGGAGAAAAAGAGTTCAGTAGTAGTTTTAGTAGTAGAACTAAAGGTTAAATTAATTTCTCTTCCTGTCTAAGTCTATTATTCTTTTAAAAATCATTGTCTCTTTTATACCTAGACATAGAAAACCATGGTCAATGGCACTGCAAAAACTAAAACTGAGAAACACCCTAGTGTGTTTTAATTCCTAGTAGCATATTGGTGGTTATTTAATTTTGAGGGTTTCTAGTAGCATATTGATGGTTATTTAATTTTGACATAGGCGATCCCGCTTTCTGGTTTGGGTGGAAGACATGGTGCTTCGTTTGGATCAAATATGTGTAGGAGATCCTGAAGAAGTATTGAGTCGTATACAGACTGATATTCAAGGAGATATAGCACTAAAAAGCCGAGAAGTTGATTGGTTATTGTCTACTGGCCACGAATTGATTGCTGCAGCCTCAGGTGATGATGAAAACTCTACTACTGAACAAAATGATCTTCAGAAGAAATTATCTGAAGTTCATAGGTGCTGGGAAGAACTCCAGAATTTAGCTGCCAATAAAGTGAACAAACTTCAAAACATTCTTCAGGTACAATTCTAACCTTTTTTTTTAGTACAAAATATTTCCATTTTTAATTTTCATTACTACTTGTTCTCAGAAACTGGTTTCTCAGTCTGTTTGTTCTGACAATTTCATAATTTATTACATGATAATTTTACTTCTGTTGGTGAAAATGTGTCGATAGCATTGATTTTGCTTCATTTCAGAAACTGAGTTACCATTGTTTAATAGTAGTATGATTCAGTCATGAAAAGCAAATCATGTAATTATAGGATGTGATAAATGAACCACCTGTTGTTCAGTAAAAAGTATTATTGCCCTTACAATGTTAGGTTACTTATCTTGTGATATAGTAAATGCTTATTTATTAGAAGTCTCAACTCTATTTATCTCTAGTCGGTGATTGTTTACTGTTAGTGTCATTTCCAGCACACTGATTCAAATCATCTTAATAATGATAATGATATTATCTTATATCTTGCCATTCATGACTGTTTCAAATTCTATATAAAGAATGTTATTTTATTACCATTTTCTTGATTTATTTAATCTAATTTACATTTGAAGTATGAACTACGGTGAAAATGTTACAGTTCTTGTTAATGATATTTCACACGTAAAATGTAAAAATATTAAAATAAGGGTAGGAAGTACCATTGCAAATTTGGTATGTCAATATTAAATTTTCAGAATTTGTCTCATTTGGAGCAACAGTTATCAGAATTAAGAAAATGGTGCCATCAAATTGAGACACAATTGATGAAACCACTTGTCATTACTGAGTGCACCCAGGAAGTGTATGCTGAAAGACTACAAGAAATTGAGGTAGGTTTGGTAATTTGTGCAATCGAAAGCTTTCTTTTCTACATTTTCTGCTGACCTAGTTTTTTTTTTGAAATAACTTACCTAATGTACTCCCCTGTTGCATTGGTACATGTTTTTCACCACTGTCTTCCCTGATGTAGGCTAACTTTGATAATATTTTAAGGTTTTTTCTTCCCAAACTACATTTTATATTCTTATCTTTCTATGTATGCTTGTTTTTTTCCATAGGATTTGCAAAGTACTATTGAACAACAGAGTGGAAAGGTTGGAGAAGTATTAAATGTTAGTGAATTATTGCTGAGCGATTATGAACTGGTGAAAACGACAGTAAACACTGAATCTATTAGTATAGCCACAGATGCAATTGAAAAACGGTAATTCCTATCCTGTTTTACTTCATTTGTAGTATATTCCATAAGTTGTGTGTGTTTACATAATTCTTAATGAAAAACTGAAGACTTTTACCAGTGGAACAATTTTGAATACGAATGACCCCAGTGTATGGTGCTAAATAAAGAATATAACTCATAATGTTCATCTTTCTTTTTCTGTTCATTTCTTAATGCTGTGTATCTACTTAAGAGAAGTACAAGAGTATTTGCCTCAACCAATTTTTGTAGACTCCTCATAAAATAAATTACTTGTAAGTATTTTATTGACTAATATAAATAGTAATCAAAACAATTTTATAGATGGAAGCACATTTGTGAAGTTTCTACAGAGCGGAAGCGTAATTTTATGAATACTTGGAAGTTATTAAAAAATTTATTGAATGGATGTCGGGAGAAACAGCGGTGGATTGAAATTCAAGAGGATATTTTAGAAAGTATACAGAGAAAAATAAACCAAATTTCACCATCTGAGCTACAAGATTATTTATCACAAGTAGAGGTGAGTCACAATTTTATATGCTCTTAGAACAAATTGTGAAAAGTAATATAGGAGAGTACCACACTTGGTCTTTTCAAAAAGATGTTGAAACATGTTGAATCAATATGGTAGAGCACTAAATACATAAGTAATTACAGCCACCATTGTGAACCCACTTGGTAAGTGCATTGTATACTAATGCTTTAAAAACACAATGCCTTCAGTTTATAGTTATTTGTTAATAAATTATATTAAATTAGCTGATTTGCAGTGTGATAAAAATTGTGTTAAAATATTCAGATTAGTTAACTCTTGACAGTTGTGTATTTTATCATTTGAAAACTACAGACAATTATTATTTTAAGTAAGTATGACATTATGACAACAAAGTTTTGTAGAACAAAGTTTATTAATATATTTTTTGTAACCCATTTATATTGAAATAAAATGCAGAAAATAACCCAAACCTCACATTACTGGCCTAATTAACAAGTTCACTAAGACATGTCATGTGATATATATCCTTAAAACAGTTTCTAACTTAGACATATTACAGTGTTCTTTGCAAATTTTCATTCACTCTAAAATATGGAATCATATTCTGCGGAAATTCTCTGAAAAGTATCTTTGCTTTATTATCCAAAAATAAATATTGGTAACAAAGACAAACACTCGCCTAGCACAAGTCCTGCAAAATGACTTAAAAAATTGCAAATCCTACTACTCCCATGCCATACACATTTTAAGTAATAATCCTTGTAAAGAAAACTCTAATGAAAAACAGGATTCTGTTATTTTAATCACAGAAGTGCCGATCCGGTGGCCGAGATCGCTAAGGCAGTAGTGCCGTAGCGATCTCGTGCCGAAAGATCGTGGCTTCGAGTCCTGCCTCAGGCAGGGTTGTATTGTGTTCATCCGTTCACCCCCTATCATCCATCATCCTCCATCTCTCATTATCACCTTTCTGAATAACATTCAGAATTGTAACTCGAGGATTTATCCTCACCTCAAGGTGACAAACCTTCGACAGTCGACCATGAACAGTAAGTGAAGTGGAACGATTCAAGTGGTCCAATGTGGCCAATCAAGTTAATAATAATAATAATTATTATTATTATTATAAATATAATAATTATAATTATAATAATTATAATAATAATAATAATAATAATAATAATAATAATAATAATAATAATAATAATTCATAATTCATAATTTTTATAATACTAGACAAAAAAAGAAATGTTGCATTTACAGTTATGACATTGTACTTCAGCTGTCATTCTGGGTTCAAGTTGGTGGGTGCGAATACTCCTCTTTCTGGAGCTTTAATATTTGAATTGAAAAGTAATAAAGTTCCTTATATGAGCATTAAGTTAAACATATTAAAAACTTAAGTCATAAAGAAATATTTGAATTGGTATTAATTTAATATATATATTCATTTGTTTCAGGGAGTTTTGGAGGAGTTACAATCTCAGAAACAGAGATTAGTTGTTTTAGATCATTCATACTCACAATTTGTCAAAAGTTGTAGAATGGTCCCAGATAATTTGTCACCCACAACTAGTCTTATTCATGTTACTCTGCAACGATGGCATGCATTAATTCCTATGGCCACTGCTTTGGCAGATCTCTTATGTCAAGAATTAAAAATGTATAGAGACTTTGTTAATATCCATGGGAAAGCAGTGATGAATTTAACAGAATTAGATACTCGCTTAACACAGCTTCAGCATTTACATTCACCAGATTCTTCATCTTCATCTATGAGTCAGGAAATAATAGAGGTATGTGATTGGGATTACTTTTGGTACATGTAACATTTATTATAATTTTTTATAGTAAGTAATATGTTCTGGGATAAATCATTTCAAACATTTGAAAAAAGTAGGAGAACGTGTTAAGTATCAACATCATAACTATGTCACTTGGATAGTACCATATCAGAATATTTTAAATTGTTTACTTCTTTCCTTTAAGCAACTGGAGAGAGAATTGAGAGCTCTGAACAGCTTATTGCAAACTGCAGATAGTTTAGGAATGACACTGCTGCAAAAATGTAAGGAGGAGGATCAAAGTTCGATCCAAGTTATGATAGATGAATATCAATTATTGAGAAGAGATATTACAATCAGACTTGCAACTCTAAAAGCGGAGTACCTGAGTGAAGGAGGGGTAAATCATTTAAACATTTGATTAGGTCAAAATTAAAGATCATGAAATCATACTTCATATTCATCTTTTTTTGTTTAATCTTTTAGGCTAGTCTTATAAAGGAGAGAGATGAAAGCATTCAAGTGGAAACATTGCGTTTTGAACAAGACTCTGCCATACAAGTAAACACACTTCCACATTTGGCAGAAATTGCTCCACAGAGTCGAGGTTTTGATACAGCAATAGCAGAGTGTAAATCTAACTTGGCAACTCTCAAAGCTGTATTAGAAGAAAGTCCTACCGATGGATCAAAGCTGGTAATTTATATTTGTTTTTTCGTGGATTTCAGTTTTTTAAAGAGCATTAAAAGATGGTCATCATATCATGGATAATATTTATTCCAGTTCTGATTTAAAATATTTTTAATCAGTTAACTACCAACATTTTATTTTAAAGAATTAATGAAACAAAATATAAGTGTAATTCATCTTTTGTTAAATTCAATAGATAATTATGGTTGGTTTCGTTGTGATATCTCAATCCGAAACAGTCTTATTACAGCTCTTACATTTTTTTTCAAATGGAAGTCTTTTTCATGGACTATTAACACTTAATAGGGAAAATCCTAAAAGAAGAAGCCCTTTCTGCATTCCAACAAAAAATTAGAATGATATTAAATGAATATAAAATATTAAAAATTGTTTTTATACACTTATAACATAGGAATTGTTTCTTTGTAGGCCACTGCTTTAGCTGGATCACAGTCTTCCATTGAACTGGTGCGACATTTGAGTTCTCGTCTTGGTGAAAGAGGTGGAGTAACTGAAGAACAAAGAAGAACACAAGAAGTAACAGCATTGAATACTGAATATGAACGTCTGTGTTCCTTGGCATGTGTTCAACATCAGAATACGGGTGAAAGCAGGTGAGAATTCTTTTTGTGAAATTGTAAAATGTTACTTGATAAAGATGATCTTGATTTTCTCTTATTTAGGTATAGTTGTACTGTGGAGTAATGTTTGTAGTGATAGTCATGCTAAACCAGCACAGACTTCTCTTAAATGTTAATTATACAAGAACAAACATTTCACAATCTTTGTTTTTCTGCAGGTCTTCCTCTGCGGATATGTACTACTTTGTCTGTGAACAGTTAAGTGTCTTCGTTGAAACATATGTTTCAAATGTTTAATATTGAGTAGCATGTTTATTTGAAAATATGACTCGTTCGTTTGTTTCTTTTCAATATGGGTGTAGCCTATATTTTCCAGAAATGCATGATAATAATTTTGCTTACATCTCTGAATTGTATTGTATTCCATTTCTATTTCTTTATGTTTCTATAGCCTCATGATGACAGTTTTGTGAAAGTTCAGGGTAGTAGAGAAGTGATAAGGAGAAGCATTTGGTTAATTTGATGTTCTTTTTCCTTTTTCAACCCAAATGTTTTGAATCTCACCTGTATACACTGTAGAAACAAAGTTTTTTTAAATGTTAGAAATACATAAAAAGCTACTATTTTTTTTCATATTTTAAATCTTGAAATACTTCATTATAAATAACTTTATAAAATCATTTTTTGCATGATTTTTATGATATGCTTGGAATTTTAAAATGGAATATTGCATGTTTGTATTTTTTGTTGAATCAAGGAGTCTTGGATGCACCTAAGCATAGAAAAACACATCAATAGAAAACAAATTTTAGAAATGTATGTATTGAGTAAAAAAAATGTATCCATTTTCTTTCCTCAGAATTCAAGTCCTTTACATATTTTATTTTTTAATTTTATTTAGCATATGGTATGAACTATATCACTTATGTGTTACAAATAAAGATGTATGTATCATTTGTTATACTTATAAGTGTGATCCCAATGTGTGTTCTGTCTTTTACATCATATCATCTTGATAACTGCATTCCAATTTTATTACAGAAATATTTTTAGGAGAAACAGTTGCAACAAGAAATTTTATAACTCTTTATCAAATAATATGATGCTATTCAAATAGTAGAATTATGATTATTTTCTCAATAGAAAAAATGCTGATCTACATATGATATAATTTCTTATTGTGTATTTTCCATTCTATTTTTACCATTTTCCATCTTATTTACCATTCTTTAATAACATGAGAATTACATCTTGTCCATCAAACATTATTTTAAATAAAATTTGCCTAGGCTTCTGTTATCATTGTTTACTACAATGATTAGTATATTATCACTATTGCCTTAATGGTGTACAAAGCCACACAGCATAGTTCTTTAGAGTTATTAAATTCTGTTTTTAGACCTTTTCCACAAAATTTTATAACTGCTTTAAATTTCATTGTTGCACAACACATAAACCATCTAAGTTTAACACTCAATAATGATCTTAATTCTCTGTATGTTGCAGTGAAAATGCAAGACTCACATGTCCATTATGTTCTCAATTTAATTGGCAACAACTTGACAATGATCTATGGCGTTTAGAACAATGGCTTCAGTTTTCTGAAGGTACTCAAAGCAATTATCAGGTTCCTCCTTCGGACATTGAACAACTTGAAGACACAATTCAAGATCATCGGGTATGTTTATGCATTGTAGTGTTAGCAATGTGATAAATATTTTAAATTGATACTGAATATAAATTAATTGTTTATTGATATTTTAGGAATTCCTCGTGGACCTTGACAGCCATAGAAATATTGTCATGTCACTCAACATTGTGGGAACACACTTAGCTGATCATGCTGATGACCAGGAAAAAGCAGAAGCACTGCGAGCACGTCTTGAGAAAACCAATATCCGCTGGGAAGCTGTATGCCAGGCAGCTGCTCAGTGGCAAACACAGCTGCAACATGCATTAATGGAGGTATATAGCAACACTTATTACCCATACACACTTATACCCCTTATTTAATATTTTGATTTAATTATTTAATGTATTGACGGTTTACTTCACATGTTTTTCAGAACCAAGGTTTCCACAGAATTATTGAAGAATTGATGGAGTGGTTAGAAAATACTGAAGATACCATAAGACTTGCTGAACCAGTAGATCTCACTGAAGAAAGTAATGTTGTTGAAGCAAAATACAATAAATTCAGAGTAAGACTAGTCTCCATTTGTTTCAATTAATATTAAATTAAATAAACTAAGGCCAAAGTGATGCTGCCTTTTTGATAATTTTCTTAGAAACAAACTATAAATTTCTATTTCAACTTTTCATACTCTCAGTGTGTTATTGCTGCCTCTATCTGTCTGCTCAGGAACTCCATGAAGAACTTGAAAGATGTGAACCACGAGTAATGTCTCTTCAAGATGCAGCTGACCAATTGTTACGCCAGTCAGATGCTCCTGAAAATTCAGTTCTGACTCGTCTTACCAGTTTGCGATTAAGGTTACAATCCCTGAGGCGAATCACAGGAATATATGTATTGAAACTGGGTGCTGTGTTAGGACATGATCCTTCGGAATTGGGTCTTGTTGCATCTCACAGAACAGGAAGTGGACAAAATGTGGGTGCATCATTAGTTAGTCTTTCTCAAGAGGTAAGATGTTGCGTATAGTTTTTAATTAAAAACAAATATCAACAAATGTGAAACAAAAGGGTTTGTGGTAAGTTACAGTGAGGAGACATCTCCAGAATATATTTACATATGATTCAAAACTTGGATGATTTTTAGTATCGCACAGATATAACATATTCCTCTAAAAATAGGTGCAGATTGATTAGGCAATCACGACAAATTCTTAGAAACTGTATTTTGTTTTAAATAGTTAAGTGTGCACCTTTAACAAGAGGGTTGAATTTAGTGATGTTTTCTAAAGCAATATATTCAAATGTGTGACATACGAATACGAACATAAATATAGCTACAGATTCTTCTATTTGACACATTTGGAAGTCTCCTCATTGTAAATTGCAATATTAAATATTACAATGAAATAATTGAGTACAATATGTAGAGATAACAATGCTATTTCAGTTAAAATGTGAAGATGAACGGATTATAAAATAACACGATAAAATGGCATCACATATGTATTACACATGTGCATGGTTTGATATGTTGGACCATGTAGTTTAGTTATGTTTTTTGTTTTTTTATATTTTTGTCCTTCACACTTAAGCACCCTCATGTAGCATCTATTATAGAATTTTGATGTTTTAATTTTTGCTTAATTGAAAATGTCAAGAATTTATTTTATTTGTGGAGCACAATTTTATCTCTCACATTTACCCTTCCCTTCTCTTTCCCTTTAGCTTCTGGAGCAAGCAGCTGCTGCATCATCAATCCACACAGAAACTCGGCACTCAAAGTAAATATAGATTTTGATCTTTCCTGTAATATTTAGAATTAGATTAAGACTTTCTTAATTTGCTTAACTCTAGTAACAGTACTTATTACATTAAATTTTTTTAAATATCTCTAATTCAGAAAACTGCATGCATAAACTTTTACATGAATTACACTAAAATATTAATACTAATATGAATAGAAGTTAATTATGACTAAATTGAAAATTACTACATTAAAAATGTTTAACATTTTGGTGCTCTCTATTAACCCAACATGTAAATTGTATCATTTTAAATATTGTGGAACTATGCTTTTATTGCCATATAATATTGTAGATTTCTTGGGTTATATTTGCTTTTCATGAATATGGGAAGATAAAACTGGGTATTCAGGAAATATGTGCTGCAAGTGGGGTTTAAAGAGGAAAGAGAAAATTAGCACTTTTGCTCAGACCATTATACATTTTAGGCACTTGTTTTTTGATGCTGAAATTGAATCAAAGAAGGTTATAACATTTCAACAAGACGTCATGTAAATGGTTAAAAATGAAAAAGTTAATGAATCAAGTATTGTGTGACACCTGTTGGTTGCTTATTTATTTTGAATTTCCTGTAAATGTAGTTTATTTGGCGTGCTCATCCTTCAAGTTTGTAGAGTAATTGTTTTCTCTTCCATGAATCATTCGTTTGAATGACGTTTCTGAGTTTTTATGTCGCTATTCTCTTGTTTCTTCTTTATTTAGTATCCTACCATTGTGTTATGTTGTTGAAATGTGTGAATCAAAATTTGTGGTCAGACTTGTGCAAAGTTAGAAAGAGGAAATAAAAGCTAGAAATTCATTATCATGTATTTCAAGTTGTGAAAAGTGTTCATCAGTTTCATATTAGACTATGTTTGCTTAAACATTATAGAGTTGCAGATTAAATCCAAACCATTAAAGAAAGAATGCAAGTGCTCTTTGTATGCAAAGAAAATTCATTTTGGAATCATAAGGCTTGCTAAGAAATAATTTTCATTCAAATCTTGCAATATTGAAAATAAGAGGGTTACAATAAAATTCTTTGATGTAAGCCTTGAGCTCAGGTGAACACAAAATAACAGTATCCGATACTTACATTAATAGATTATCAACGCATAGCTGTGCGAAATTGTTTTCGAGAATGTATAAGTAAGATCAGTTATAAAGATTGGAAATTCATTTGCTTACAAAAACAATACATTGATTAAAAATTCAAACTAAAAACTTTTAAGTCTATCAACCAAAAAAGCAAGTAAAACTGTAAGTAAATAGAAAAAATTATCATTCCATTTCCATTTAAGGTTTTAAATCGAAAACACTTTTTAGTGCACATTTGAAGAACAATGTTTTGTCGTATGTTTTCAATTTTAAAAATTTAGTAGAAAACTAATTTGTAGATGATGTTCCTTTTTAAAAAAATAAATTAAAAATTAATTAAATAAAATTCAAAGAATGTGTGTGTTACCTTGGAAAGATAGAAAATAATGATACAGACTTGAAAAATTCCAAAATTAGTAGTTGCAGATCACTTTTTGAATGAAAATAATGCAGAAAAGAAAAGGCGACAATCAATGTATTTGAAATGTCATGGTTTATTAATTGGAAGAACAGTTAAAGAGAATGTTTTTAATTTTGAACTGAAGTTTGCACCCTTAGATGTTTTTTGCAGGAATCCAATAAAACTTAGCTTTCTATATTATTGGTTTTCTAATTCCACTGATGGCTGTTTGTACCTATTATTCTCAGAATAGTTTAAAACTTATTAAATTCTGAAAGCACTTGCAATTGCATTTTTTTTTTTTTTTTTTTAGTGAAGAAATGTTTTAATGGTGTAAGTTCGAGTATTTTATGTTACAATAAGCATAATTGAAATTCAAAGGAATTCTATTCTTGAAAGTAGTTTATAATTGTTCAATTCATTTATATTTGTGGATACTCTCTTTACTTATTTTCTTCTGTGTATTTGTTTTCTATACAGTTTATACATTCATAATCTTTTGTGTTTGTTTAGTGATAATGGCACTGCCAGAGAGGATGAAGTTGATACCACAGTACTGACCCGAGGCTATCAGTTTTTTGGCCGTGTTCTTCGAGCATCATTGCCAATTCAAGCATTGATGCTGCTAATACTGGGTGTAGCATCCCTTGTTCCTTCAAGAGAAGAAGATTATTCCTGCATCCTGAGCAATAACTTAGCCAACAGTTTCGAACCTTTACTGTTTTATCCAAATGGTCCACCCCCAGTTTAAGACGTATTAATGGACTGATTAAATAATTAATGGAAATTAGCATATTTTTTTATATATATTCATTCAGTATTGTACTTATTTAATAAATTGTATTTTCAGTAAACACAAGACTGAGAATGTAAGTGCTTTCTGAAACTTATCCTCTCTACATTATTTCAGTTACAAAAGTACAAGGACAGAATGTTGACATTCCTTACTGGGATTACTGAAAACAATTATTCTCTCGAATCTTCAGCATTTTACATGAATTGAATGTATTGTAAAGTGTCAAAGACTACTGAGACTTTGGTTTATGTATTTAAATGGAGGTTGGAAGTGTATGGATTGCTATGTATGTACGCCGTATATTTGACATAAGAGGTACGACTGAGAAAATATAGTTTTTGCTAATATTTGTAAATTGTAAAGAAATTGTTAATTTTCAGCTGTTTCATTTCTATTTTCATTATGTATATATAATATAAAATATATTATATATAAACACTGTGGTGGATGTAAACTCACATATGTGTTTATGTGTGTTTATATTTATTGACCAGGTATTTTATATTGTAAATGGTCAATTGTATAATAAGAAGTAGGTCTGCAAACAGTAAAGTTGCTTAATTTTAAGTATTATATTTTGGTGCAATGTGTGTGGTTCATACACCTAATACAATCTTGAAATTCGTGGATTGCGAAATGTGACATTGAATCTGGAAATAGGTGCTTCATTGCATTTCAACACATAATGGGAGAAATTTAAGTGTTGGTTCTATTCCCTTGTACTCAGAGAATACATGTACAACTTATTCAAGATCTTATTTTCAGTACTACAGTGAATTATTTGTGTTTTGCTTATTTGCAAATATGGTTGATACATGTATGAGAGCTTTGCTGTTATTTTGTTTTAAAATTTACATCATAAACTGAACAAAGTCTTAAAAATGAAATGTCCATTATGTCTAGATATTTGTTAAAAAAAAATGTGTATTCTCTAAATGTTTTGCAGAATATTGTAAATTCTATATGATGTACGAACTGAAGGGGAGAATTGCATCTCCACTTTTTTCCGTCTCCGTGTCCATTTTTCCCCTTCAATTTTGTCCTTTCTTTTCATATTCCTTCTACTGGTTTCTCGTTATTGTCTACTGGGTAATCATCACCTGCACATTCTCTTCACATTAGGTGCTATTTAAACTGCAAATGCAGCTTTGTATTGTGATGTAATTTGTTTATATATAATGTAAAATAAAAATGCAGAACACTACTATGCAACTATAACTGCTTTGTTAAAATAATCATTATTAAAAGAAGAAACAGAAGCTTTGGCTGTTCATTTAATGGCTTCCATTTCAAAAAGATTCCATTACAAAAATGTATAAAGTAGAATCCTTTACAGGTACATACAGTATTGACACCCAAATCTGAGGGAATGTTCATGTTACTTAGCCACATTCTCTGTACTTGTAATAACCTAAATTATATGTTCCCAAAATATTTTGTCAGATTTGTGTAACTGAAATTAAATTGTAGCTTCTGTAACATGGCTTTCTTTGCAATTGTAACATGTAGTATTTTTATAAGAAAAATGCTTAGCAGGTGTGGTGTTTGCAAATTAAAGATGTTGAATTTGAATTTTGTGTATCATTTTAGATTTGAATTATTGAGTTGTTTTCCATCTTCCCTTCCTTATGAAGTAAAGAATATAGTTTGCGACTAAGAAGTATAAGTAAGGATATCCAAAAATTGTAGCCCTGCTATCATTTCATAAAATATACGAGATGAGGAATTTGCCTTCTGACCAGGACATTCAGCCTCACTGCAGGCATTAGGTATGGCCAAGCAGATCTCCGCTGACCTCATACTCTCACAGGATGTACCAGTCGTATTCCTCGATATGGTACAAGCCTTGGACAAAGTGCCACACAATACACAAAGACGAAACCTCCCTAAAGGTGTAACGGATATGATTGCATCATTTCTCACAATCCGCACCTTCGTGGTCAAAGTGGGAAAAGCGAGATTCTCAAAGCGCGGGATTTTTGCCGGAGTCCCCCAAGGCTCCGTGTTCTCCCCGCTACTGTACTCGCTATATGTCAATGACATACGACAGATACCATGGATTACGCTATTCCTGTATGCTGACGACATAGCACTCCTAGAGGAATAAACCTGGATCATAAACTGAAATCACTACAAAAACAGATGAACCTGACTCTGAAGAGGGCACAAGAAAAACACTTGACTTTCTCAGCGGAAAAGTCTCAGGCAATCTGCTTCCCTCACCGTAAACACAAACACACAAAGCGTTTCACGCCGCCCAAGCAAATCAAAATCGGAACGCAAAATCTCAAATTGGCGCCTAAGGCAACTTATCTGGGTGTCACTTTCGACCGGAGCATGCGCTGGCACTTACATGTCAGACGAATCCGTTCGAAACTTCACCTAAGGGTCCGTCTTCTGAAAACTCTCCTTAAGGAACCTTTTCTACCCTTGGATCTTCTCCTGGCACTATAAAACGTGCTGCCGGCCTGTGGCCACCTACGCCTCGGCGACGTGGTGGACCACAGTACAGAAGTACAAGAACACACTCGAGTTAATTCAGAATAGAGTTCTGAGACACATAGCTCGCCCTCCGTTGCCTCACGCTGAATGCGCAGAAATGCCAGGCAACTCTTTTTACTCTTAAGACTTCTCACAACGCGCACACTGTCGCTCCTATCCGTCTTCACATACACACAAACACACACTCCCGTGGGAAGACTTGATTAAATACCTCGGCGTCACCTTCGACCGCCGACTCACCTGGACAGCACTTCTTCACAAACCACGAAAAAACATGACACAACGCATACATAAACAATTCCACTCTTTAGGACTAAATCCCTAAAGGAAAACCTGAAAATTCGCCTGTACCAAGCGTGTGTACGGAGCGCGGGGCTCTACGCATGCGAGGTGTGGGCGTCGGCCGCGAAAGGGCCCCGTGAGAAATTTACGCGCGCCGAACACTCTTTTATCCGCGTCACCCGGACAGCCAATTAAATATAAACCAGATCGTGAATTACCAAACGCACACTACTAAAGACTGAATAAAAATAAAAAATCCGGCGGAAGAGCTTTCCCCCACGAGCAGGCCGCCATCTGAAAAAGCTAGTGCACAACATCTCCGCGCATTACGACCTGAGGAAGGTCGCAGAATGGCGACCGAAACGTCGTCACCTTTGCCATGGACGCGGCGTCACCCGGACAGACAATTAAATATAAACCAAATCGTGGATTACCAAACGCATGAAACTGTCATGGGAAAGAAAATGCATCATGTAGAAAGTACTAACAAATAACAATGTAACTCCAACTTCATTTCATACTACAAACCATATAACACGATCCTAAAAAAAGTAATCAAACAAGCAAATATTATGACAAATGATAAGTACATTGCAAATACATTTAACAAAACAAAAGCAATGTTGGACGTTATTAAAAAGACTACAGCAAATAATAACCAAAAATGTAGAATTCCACTACCAAAATCAAACTTAACAAGACCCACAAGAATTCTATGTACACTTTTCACAAATTGGTAAAAAGTTAATCTCTCAACACTCTATAAACAATAAAACACACCAACCAAACACTAATGTTACAGAAATCGTAAATTCCATATTTTTATATGAAACCATCTCCTCTGAAATTTTTAAAATCATTGGACAAATGGAGAATAAATTCTCAGCAGGCCTGGACAACATTCCAGATTTTCTTACAAACACAGTGCTCTATGTATAGTGCAACCACTCTCTGATATCTGCAATTACTCTCTAAAAACAGGCAGATATATTCAAAATGGCAAAATATAAACCATTTTTTTAAAAAGGGCAATAGTTATGATCCAATGAACTACATATCTATCTCCTTGCTATCAGGATTTTCAAAATTCTGGAAAGGCTTTTCAATCATAGACTCAAACAGTTTCTCAATGCAAATAATGTCCTCTCAAATGCACAACATGGCTTCAGGAGTTATAGATCCACAGACACAGCCATCTTCGCCTTTTTAAATGACATACTTATTGCACTAAATCGGAAGGAAATTCCCATTGGCCTTTTCTTAACTTGTCAAAAGTCTTTGACATTACTGATCATCACATACTTTTAACAAAACTAGAAATGCTAGAGATTCAAGGCATTGCAGGCCAATGGATCAAATCATATTTATCAAACCATTGCTAAATAGCTGCCTGCACACTAAAGAAAACAAAATCTCCTCATACTACTCCTGCCCTCAGATGATAAATTGAGTCCTGCAAGAATCCATCCTTGGGCCAATACTATTCCTTATATGCATAAGTGACATACTTTTGGCTTTAAAGAATAACAAAATAATTTTGTTTCCTAATCACACAAATATGATCATCACAGCATAACACAACAGTTATTAGAAAAAGAAAGTCACAAAACTTTGCATGCACTAACAAAATGGTTTCAAGACAACAAAATCATCATAAACACCAAGACAATCTTTCTTAATTTCATGAATTCTTGATTTAAAGAAAAACTCTCACAGCATTTGCTCAAAAACTCCAGATTTTCCAGGATATCATCACATTATCATAATAACCTTGTAACAATATCTCATAAAACTACCTTCCTCTAACAATTCAAGAAAACCTAAAATAGAATGCTCAAATCTGAATAAGAAGCTCAAGTGAAGAATGTCAAGCTCCAATATTGAGGCGCTTCAAACAATGTATTTTGCAACTGTGCACTCACGCCTAAAATATGGAATAATATTCTATATCAGCTGGAGTCTTGCAAACACTTCTTCAAGAAAATAAGGACTCTTCCTCTTCCATGCCTGTATATAATTGAAATAGTGGTCTTCACAAAGAAGATTCTCATGGGAAAAAAAGACACTTTTACTCTAAATTGTGATGTACACAACTGCTACACGCGTCAAAAGGAAAACCTACGTGTTCCCCACTCTGAAACTACACTTTATCAAAAAAGTACCCAAATAGAGGTCATTACACTTTACAATAAACTGGGCACTGATATTAAAGACATAAACACAATTCATACATGTAAAAGTAAATTGAAAGCTTTCCTGCTTAACATGTTCTACAGTATGAAGGAATATTCAAACCACAATACTTCCCTTAAAAAAAATTCTTATCCCATTTGACTTTCTGTTTCATGTTGACTGTTTCGAACTGAAACAAAGAAATAGAAACTGACATATCAGATCCTGGCTGTGTGTAAATTGCAGTTGGACCAACGTAGAAGGAGAATGCCTGACCAAAATTTCTATTTTCTTCACCCTGGATTTGCTAGATACATTAGATGCTGCAGTTGGACTAGGTGTACAAATAGAAAAAAATGGCAAAACCTGTATGCTGCTCCTCACCATTTCAAGATTTAAACATAGAATGTGCTAATGTTGCTACTACATCACTACACAATTGATATCATGTACTATTTTAATATTAATTTTATTATTATCATCATTATTATTATTATTATTATTATTATTATTATTATTATTATTATTATTATTACTATTACTATTACTATTGTTGTTGTTGTTGTTGCTGTCATCGTTATAAGCACAAAAATACATATTGTGACGTCATGGGATTGTGCAACGCCATGACGCCACCGTCTAGCACCTGTGAACACCCACAAGCAACCGAGGATAGCATACGCGGCGGAGCAATGGCTCTTAAACGCGCAACTTTTTATCCGTTGATAGTACTAGAGCGCTAGTACTAGCGAGCAACGTTATTCCCGTGGAGGGTTGAAAGAGGAGAAGCAACCCCACTCTTGAAATTTCCTCAGGCGGCGAGCCATAAATATGGTAACACGCTTCGGGAGCGCTCTCTGATATTCCAGCAACGACGGGGAACGCATCGGCAGCACTTGAATCACAGCAAGGTCAGCGGAGAGGTCTTCTCGAGCTAGAGCAGGAGTTTATTTAAATACGTGGAGCTAGAGTAGTAGAAATTAGAATACCAAAGTGATAGGAGAAAGTGGTGTAAATTTTGGAATCGACAGTAAGTCTAATATTGCCTAGATTCGTGTAGAAGGACTCTGAAGTATTCCAGTACAGTCATATTGCTCCTTATTACTGCATATGGCAAAAGTGTAGTAGTTAGGCCGCGCACGCAAACGAAAGGGGCGCAGCAAATTAGATAAAACTGGAAGCGCGAATTAATTTATACAACGAGGCGTGTGAAGATGGAAAAAGAAGGCATCTCCAAAAAGGCTCAACCGTACGAGCGAAAGATATGGTCTTGGATGGAAGTCAGGGCGTGCAAGTGCGAAGGATTTGGGTTCAGCGTGGGACTTCGAACGGTCGACGCAGCAAGTGAAGAATTCGGCGAAACGTTGGAGCGGCAACAACCTTGAATCGGCGAGGTCATCTGGCAGCGAGCATCGCAGCGTCGGTGAGACGCGCGTTTTCGCAGTTTCGTTAGAAAAAAGCGATCGCAGCAACGCGACAGTTCAATAAAATCGCTTAAAGTGGGAAACATTTGTCTTGTTATGGGTAAAGCAAGTGTAATACCCGAATTATTTATGAATTTGAAAAAAGAGAGCCATACCTTGTACTGTTTTACGTGAAAGGTGATTTAATTATTG